TACATTCTGGGGATGTAACCATAGCCTAACATCCATGGGTTTTTACTATTACCCAATTTAATGGTACTCATTTTATCTACCACGGAAGGATGAAGGGCTGAGTCAGCCCTGCTGGGATTTGAACCTGCAACCCAAGGGTTGAACATAGACAAAGCAGTCCAAACTTTGTCTTAGTAAATCTTTGTCTCTTTCAGTAAAATGCCAACACAGTCAAAATGAGTAATTCATCATGATTCTATCTTTATGAAATACTCATTTTTCAGGGAGGACAGATGCTGTATGCATTTATAAAGTAAGAGCAGCCTACCAGTCATTTCCCGTTCCTTGGTTGCCCCTTTGCCTTCTTTAAGTTCCTTCTTTTCGTCATCACGCCTATCCTTAAGTCTTAAAGGGGATAGTGAGGAAGACCTGGGCCTGCGGGGAGACCTGAAATCCACATATTACAAGCATTAGAGATGTTCGTGGGAGAGGAACAGACAGACAATCTAGATTTTTGTGGTGGCTTCAGTCAACGTAAGAAAATGGCATTAACAATTTGTAATCATATACTGTTACAGACTTTTGATGTGCTCTCACTACTGATATCACATAAGCAAACTTTTATGGGCACAGAAAGGGTTACATTTTCAGTTGTATGGTTTTCTTTTGTAGAATAAAAAAAAAAAAAAAAAAAAGTGAACTTGAACTCCCAAAAAGTCATGGAATCACATGTAACCAACATTTTAACACAAAGAGAAAAGATGTAGAAAAGTGGATTTTATGGATTAAAACTACCAACTAGGATAACTATAACTAGGAACACTATAGTCAGCAAAACACCATTAACTTAATAGAGCAGTTTTGTTGCAGAGATCATGCACCTGCAGTCTTACTAGTCAGTTCCCTGCCACTTATGGGTTAAATCACTTTGTTTATGCAACGTAAGGCACACCTCAATGCATGTGACTTACACAGCCTTCCTGTAAAGAGCGACTAACTTTACACTATTACAAAATCTGTTTAATTTATAATTTCTTATCTCTTTCTCTGTTAATACCTGGCTAGAAACTGCAGGATCTTCCTGGATGTAATTCAAGTTCAATTTACAAAGCAGAAGATTAAAAACTTTAAGTTACACCTGATTGAAAATGAAACCATTTTATTTTCATGCAGGCTGTGTCAGTCATAACCAAAGGAGAAGTGGTTATGGCTGCATAAACAGAAAACAAAAGTGAGTTAATTCCTAAATGGAAGGGAATTGAGCAGTGAAACTTCAGAGGCATGTTCTAAACACAAAAACTGCTTCATTAAGCTATAGTTGTTTTGGTGGCTATAGTGTTCCTATAAGCATTACAACACTACTAACTTGTAAAAGAAGTGTTGGGTGGTTTTTGTATCACTCAGGATTAATATTTTTCTTTTGCACAACTTGAGTGTGTCTGGAGTTTTCCTTTGACTGCATTATGTAAATAACTTGTTTACCTTGAACGACGTCTGTGTGGGGAACGTGAGCGACTTCTACGCCTCTCCCGTGACCTGGAGCGCTCTCGCCGCCTCCTCTCACGTTCCCTGGAAGCAGATCGCGAACGCCTACGCTCTTAACAGAGGGGAAAAAAAAAAAAAAAAAGCACAAAAAACATTTTATATAAGTTGTCTTGGTGCTGTGTCCCTGTCCCCTTAATCCTGCAATCTAAAACATTGCAGTTTCAGCAAAACTGCAATGTTTTCATTGCAGGGTTAACACTGATTCTTGTGGCTTCCTGGAGTTAAATTTTCTGAAATTACACTGGACGTCCTTATGCTTTACATGAAGATGTCCATCGTCTTCTAAACCCCCATAGAAAAGCACTGAATCAATGCAAAGTTAAATGATTTGAAATGGAGTCCATATGTGCATTTTGCTTTGAAGCGCAGCACATTATGGTGTTATAGGCCAGCAGTGAACTAGACAGCCATTGACCGAGCGCAGTCAGCTGACACCCTCACCCAACGGATGGCAACAGTGGCGGCTTCTGCAGAAGCATGTCACCGGACCATTTTAGCCCAGTAGTGATGCAGGTAAGGGGACAAGCCATTGTTAAGGTGCTCCTGGCATCGTAACCACTAGTAATTCTTTACCTTACCAAGCTGCTTTACATAGGTGGTTAAAAGCCGGTCACTTGTCATAGGCCTAATAATAAAAAAAATAAAATAAAAAAAAAAGTCTAAATAATTTAAATCCATTATAGAATTTATACAATCAGATCCCAGATCAATCCCTATTTCGATTGGTTCCTCGTTATTTATTTGTATTAAGGATTGTACCATAATTATATTTACCTAAACCCTCTGATAACATGTTACTGTGTCAGTTTAATTGGAAACTCCATCACATGCAGTGTCCAGCCATGGCGGCCGCGATTCCACCTGCACTCTCTCTCCCTCCCTCTCCCCCTTCCTAATCACAATCTCCTCTGCATGAGAGGTCGCCATCACACTCACCTCTCCGTCTCTCTGGCGACCGGCTGCGACTCCGAACCATTGTTTCTGCTCACAAACAGGAAATGCGAGAAAATGCCTCGCACAGTGCATCACTAATACGGCCCCGGTCGCGAACCACTTCCGGTAAACAAGGTTCCGCCTGTGTATGTAGCTGCATACAGGATGTCCTGATTGTGTTGGCTTACGGCATGGTCTCCTTATAAATCGCTGTTGTAGGCGTGTGATTTAACTTCATTAACCATCATGGTAAAGCACCCATGGAGAATGGCTGCTATAGTGGTACTGTGTAAATACATGTGTAATTTTGCGTTAAAGGGACATTATAGGCACCCAGACCTCTTCATCTCATTGCAGTGGTCTGGGTGCATTCCTGCAATGTAAAAACAGACAGACCATTAGAGGCGCTTCCTGGATGCTAACCGAGTTCGACTCCATGAAACAACACCTAAGTCTTCACACTCTGCATGAGGACATCCAGCTTCAGAGCAAACCCCATTGGGAAAGCATTTATTCAATTATAGAAACATAGGATGTGACAGCAGATAAGAACCATTCGGCCCATCTAGTCTGCCCAATTTTCTAAATACTTTCATTTGTCCCTGGCCTTATCTTATAGTTAGGATAGCCTTATGCCTATCCCACGCATGCTTACACTCCTTTACTGTGTTAACCTCTACCACTTCAGCTGGAAGGCTATTCCATGCATCCACTACCCTCTCAGTAAAGTATTACTTCCTGATATTATTTTTAACCCCTTAAGGACCAAACTTCTGGAACAAAAGGGAATCATGACGTGTCACACATGTCATGTGTCCTTAAGGGGTTAAACCTTTGTCCCTCTAATTTAAGACTATGTCCTCGTGTTGTGGTAGTTTTTCTTCTTTTAAATATGGTCTCCTTTACTGTGTTGATTCCCTTTATGTATTTAAATGTTTCTATCATATCCCCCCTGTCTCGTCTTTCCTCCAAGCTATACATGTTAAGATCCTTTAACCTTTCCTGGTAAGTTTTATCCCGCAATCCATGAACCAGTTTTGTAGCCCTTCTCTGAACCCTCTCTAAGGTATCAATATCCTTCTGAAGATACGGTCTTCAGTACTGTGTACAATACTCCAAGTGAGGTCTCACCAGTGTTCTGTACAATGGCATGAGCACTTCCCTCTTTCTACTGCTAATGCCTCTCCCTATACAACCAAGCATTCTGCTAGCATTTCCTGCTGCTCTATTACATTGTCTGCCTACCTTTAAGTCATCAGAAATAATCACCCCTGGATCCCTTTCCTCATATGTTGAGGTTAGGACTATCAAATATTCTGTACTCTGCCCTTGGGTTTTTACGTCCAAGATGCATTATCTTGCACTTATCCACATTAAATGTCAGTTGCCACAATTCTGACCATTTTTCTAGTTCACCTAAATCATTTGTCATTTGGCTTATCCCTCCTGGAACATCAACCCTGTTACATATCATCAGCAAAAAGACATACCTTACCATCAAGACCTTCTGCAATATCACTAATAAAAATATTAAAGAGAATGGGTCCAAGTACAGATCCCTGAGGTACCCCACTGGTGACAAGTCCAAGCTTTGAATATATTCCATTAACTACAACCCTCTGTTGCTTGTCACTCAGCCACTGCCTTACCCATTCAACAATATTGGAATCCAGACTTAAAGATTGCAGTTTATTGATAAGCCTTCTATGTGCAACAGTGTCAAAAGCCTTACTGAAATCTAGGTAAGCAATGTCTACTGCACCACCTGATCTATAATTTTAGTTACCCAATCAAAAAAATCAATAAGATTAGTTTGGCATGATCTCCCTGAAGTAAACCCATGTTGTCTCTGATCTTGAAATCCATGTGTTTTTAGATGTTCATCAATCCTATCCTTTAACATGGTTTCCATCACTTTCCCCACTACTGAAGTAGGCTTACTGGCCTATAGTTGCCCGACTCCTCCCTATTACCTTTCTTGTAAATGGGCACAACATTCGCTAACTTCCAATCTTCTGGGACTACTCCTGTTAACAATGATTGGTTAAATAAATCTGTTAATGGTGTTGCTAGTACACCACTAAGCTCTTTTAATAGCTTTGGGTGTATTCCATCAGATCCCATTGACTTATTTGTCTTTACTTTTGACAGTTGAAATAGAACCTCTTCCTCTGTAAACTCACGTGTAATAAATGACTCATTTATCCTTTTTCTTAACTGAGGTCCCTTTCCTTAATTTTCATCTGTAGATACAGAACACAAATATTCATTGAGGCAGTCAGCTAGACCTTTATCCTCTTCTACATACCTTCCTTCTTTTGTTTTTAATCTAACTAATCCTTGTTTTACTTTTCTTTTCTCATTTATGTATCTAAAAAAAGTTTTGTCCCCCTTTTTTACTGACTGTGCAATTTTCTCTTCTGTGTGTGATATGGAAGCTCTTATAACTTGCTTAGCCTATTTCTGCCTAATCATATAGATCATTTTGTCTTCCTCACTCTGGGTTTTTTTATAATTACTAAATGCTAACTTTTTGTTTTTAACTATTTTGGTCACATCTGCGGAGTACCACAGTGGTTTCTTGAATTTTTTGCTTTTACTGAGCCTAATGAAATTTTCTGTTGCCTTCAATAATGCAACTTTTAAATAATCCCATTTCTCTTGGACTCCATTTAAATTGCTCCAGTCTGATAATGACTCATCTACACATATTCTAATTTTAGAAAAGTCTTTTTCTAAAGTATAAAACTTTTGTTTTTGTGTGGTGTGACTCAGTCACTGTTCTTATATTAATCCACACTGACTGATGATCACTGGATCCTAAACTTTCACCTACAGTAATATCTGATACCAAATCTCCATTTGTTAACACTAAATATAGTATGGCCTCTTTACGAGTTGGCTCCTCAACAACTTGTTTTAGAGACAATCCCAGTAGGGAGTTTAGAATATGTGTGCTCCTGGCGCAAGCAGCTATTTTTGTTTTCCAATTCACATCAGGAAGATTAAAGTCACCCATGATGATAACTTCCCCTTCATTGTCATTTTAGCTATTTCCTCAACTAGTAGATTATCTAACTCTTCAATTTGTCCTGGGGGCCTATAAATCACACCTACACGAGTTACTGTGTGATTACCAAATTCTAACATAACCCAAATGGACTCTATGTTCGCCTCACTAACTTTTATTAGGCTAGATTTTATGCTATCCTTCACATATAGGGCTGTTGTGGAAATAAGGTCTACACATATTTCCTAGTTAGTGAAAAATGTCTATTTACTCATTTCACGATATATATATATATAGCTAAGCACACACGTTATAATTAAGATGGCTGCTAGAAGCTTCTTGCTCCTTTTCCTCCCCCCCCTTTTCCCTTTCTCCTTCCTAACATCGACTAACTACCTCGTGCACCAAGATGGCGCCGGGAAACCGTGGGAGACCCTCATGGCCCCGATGACATCACCTACAGTAGGCAGAGCATTGAAGCAACCACTTAACACCTAACCAATTATTGATGTATTATTCCATGTTATCTCTGACAATGCTTATGATGTAATTTTGCTTTAAAAGGGACTTGCCGTCCCCTCTGAATAAACATTCCTCAAGTTATTCAACAACCTGGAACCTGTGTCTGATGTGAATTACTTCAGGGAGCGTGCACGCATTGTTTCATTGATTTGGCCAGGGGCAGATACACAAAGAAATAATCAATACTTTTAATTGATTTTTCCATTTCAATTGGCGCCCAAAGTGGGGCCACCGGAGGGCCGGAACCAACGGACCGGAGCGGACCTCCGGAAAGTGGGACAAGCGGAGCCTGATCACCTCCATAATACAGCCGTTGCCTGTGTTATTCTCCTGTTTTGTGTCGGTCTGTCTCCGAGTCCACTTCCGGCTTCCAGAAGGCTACTAGAGACAGGTAATTAACTCATCCGGTGTGCCTTTTAAGGTGAACCTGTCGATTGTCTATCTGCCTCCTGTATTTGTTTGAATGTGTGTGTCGGCCGGAGTGTGTGTTTTCCCCCTTTTTAAAAGACGATAGCTTGACTGCCTAGCGGGCAGGGAACGCATTACAGCCGGTGGGGCTGGGATTTTAAGTTAGCTTGACTGCCTAGCGGGCAGGGAACGCATTACAGCCGGTGGGGCTGGGATTTTACAGCCGGTGGGGCTGGGATTTTACAGCCGGTGGGGCTGGGATTTTACAGCCGGTGGGGCTGGGATTTTAAGTTAGCTTGACTGCCTAGCGGGCAGGGGACGCATTACAGCCGGTGGGGCTGGGATTTTACAGCCGGTGGGGCTGGGATTTTACAGCCGGTGGGGCTGGGATTTTAAGTTAGCTTGACTGCCTAGCGGGCAGGGGACGCATTACAGCCGGTGGGGCTGGGATTTTGTTTGTTTATTACTGTGCTCTCATTAATACTTGTGTTATACTGGGACCAGCCTGGTGGGTGAAGGCTGAGGATTGCTATACTTCGTTTATTCAGCACTGGTGTCATTAACATGTACATGGCCATTTTACTCTCTGTCATTCTGTGGTTCTTGTTTAATTGTTGTTACAGCGTGGGTACCCTCGGTGTGTGCGTGTGTATTGTGTGGTTAGTTCTGGACTCCGGAGTCTATGCTCATTTATATGTTTGTGATTTTTGCAAATGTCTTCTCATTAGCGCAGCCACGTTCATCTTTTCTTTTGTGCTTTATCTCTCCTGTGCCTGTTGCCCAGAGCTGTGTTAGTCACCCACGCTCATTCGCTCCCGTCCGTGACCACCACCCCGGGTGGGCGGATCTCCGTGACTAGTCTACGTTTGGGGAAGACAAACGGGGCTCAAGTTCTCGTGGCAGTCGAGCACTGTAGACACTCCTTCTCCCCTCCTTTCTTATACCTCCTCTATCCATCTGTCTTTAACGAGTGGCACGCTTTGTTTGGTCAAGATGGGGCAGGAACATGCTAGACCTGCTAAAGGTTTATTGGCTTGTGATATTGTGAAAGAAAGGGCAGGAGAAGATGCTATGATGAAACTTAAAAAGATTGCTAAGGTGTGTGGCTTTCAGATGTTACCCAGTGGGAGATTGCAACCGGAGTTTTGGAGAAAGCTACTCATAGATAAGGAAGG